GTGGTGGGGCTGGAGGGGAGTGTGGAGCAGACAAGGGAGTCACGGAGAGAGTGATCCCTCCGGAAAGCAGATAAGGGTGGGGAGGGAAAGATGTCTTTGGTGGTGGGGTCGGATTGCAGATGGCGGAAGTGTCGTAGGATGATGCGTTGGATCCGGAGGTTGGTGGGGTGGTACGTGAGGACGAGGGGGATTCTTTTTTGGTTCTTATTGCGTGGACGGGGTGTGAGGGATGAGGTGCGGGAGATGTGGGAGACACGGTTGAGGGCGTTCTCGACCACCGAGGAGGGGAAGTTACGGTCCTTGAAAAACGAGGACAACTGAGATGTACGGGAGTGGAATGCCTCATCCTGGGAGCAGATGCGGCGGAGGCGAAGGAATTGGGAATAGGGGATAGCATTTTTGCAGGAAAATGGGTGGGAGGAGGAGTATTCTAGGTAGCTGTGGGAGTCGGTGGGCTTGAAATGAATATCAGTTTCGAGGTGGTTGCCCGATATGGAAACAGAGAGGTCCAGGAAGGGCAAAAATGCTATCCCCTATTCCCAATTCCTTCGCCTCCGCCGCATCTGCTCCCAGGATGAGGCATTCCACTCCCGTACATCTCAGTTGTCCTCGTTTTTCAAGGACCGTAACTTCCCCCTCTCAGTGGTCGAGAACGCCCTCAACTGTGTCTCCCACATCACCCGCAACTCATCCCTCACACCCCGTCCACGCAATAAGAACCAAAAAAGAATCCCCCTCGTCCTCACGTACCACCCCACCAACCTCCGGATCCAACGCATCATCCTCCGACTCTTCCGCCATCTGCAATCCGACCCCACCACCAAAGACATCTTTCCTTCCCCACGCTTATCTGCTTTCCGGAGGGACCACTCCCTCCGTGACTCCCTTGTCCGCTCCACACTCCCCTCCAGCCCCACCACACCCGGCACTTTTCCCTGCAACCTCAGGAAGTGCTACACCTGCCCCCATACCTCCTCCCTCACCCCCATCCCAGGCCCCAAGAAGACTTTCCACATCAAGCAGATGTTCACCTGCACATCTGCCAATGTGCTATACTGCATCCGCTGTACCCGTTGTGGCCTCCTCTACATCGGGGAAACCAAGTGGAGACTCGGGGACCGCTTTGCAGAACACCTGCACTCGGTTCGCAATAAACAACTGCACCTCCCAGTCGCAAACCATTTCAACTCCCCCTCCCATTCCTCAGACGACATGTCCATCCTGGGCCTCCTGCAGTGCCACAACGATGCCACCCGAAGGTTGCAGGAACAGCAACTCATATTCCGCTTGGGAACCCTGCAGCCCAATGGTATCAATGTGGATTTCACAAGCTTCAAAATCTCTCCTCCCCCTACTGCATCCCAAAACCAGTCCAGCTCGTCCCCGCCTCCCTAACCTGTTCTTCCTCCCACCTATCCCCTCCTCCCACCTCAAGTCGCACGTCCATCTCCTACCGACTAACCTCATCCCGCCCCCTTGACCTGTCCCTCCTCCCTGGACTGACCTATCCCCTCCTTAACTCCCCACCTACACTCACCTTTACTGGCCCCATCCCCGCCTCTTCGACCTGTTTGTTTCCTCTCCACCTATCCTCTCCTCTATCCATCTTCTATCCGCCTCCCACTCTCTCCCTATTTATTTCAGAACCCCCTTCCCCTCCCCCTTTTCTGATGAAGGGTCTAGGCCCGAAACGTCAGCCTTTCTGCTCCTACGATGCTGCTTGGCCTGCTGTGTTCATCCAGCCCTGCACCTTGTTGTCTCGAATTATCGGCCAACATGTTTTTTAAAAAGATTTCTGTAGAGAATTTTTAAAAATTTTCTTTAATTGGTGTGTGTATGTTTGTGGGGAATTATTTAAAAGAGTAAATATTTAAACTTCCGTATTTCAAGCTGCGTTAATTTGACTCTGATGAAGAATCATCTAGACTCGAAACATTAGCTTGCTCTCTCTCCATGAATGCTGCCTGACCTGCTGTGATTTCCAGAATTTGTTGTTTTCAGTACAGATTCCAGCAACTGCAGTAATTTGCTCCTATATTGTGTTAGTTTTCTATGCAGCTTTGTCAATAAGGCTTATTTTAATTTTAAAAAATCAATAATCTTGTTTGTTAAGGAAACCTGCTTGAATCCTTATAAATCTAATACAGATGAAATATATAATTAACTATATCACTGAAAGTAAGGCATTTTAACTTTTGTCATGACCAGTGGACCAATGGGACTGAAGGGTGACAGTGTACTTGCCCAAGCTCAGTTGTAAGAATATGCTCCCTCAAAGTGCAAAGCTGTGTGCTAGCAGCGTTATTTTACAAAATCTATCTTTTGAAGACTACAATGTGTTCATAGCTTAACTCTGGCTCTCTGGCCAGCAAATTCCATTTTACATTTATCTATCTAGTATCAGTGAGGGAGAGATTCTGGTCTCTCTGTTAGATTTAAATTATGAACAAATGCCTCAAATAAATCGAAAATTAGGCAAAGATTACTCAAACATATTCCATTTGGGAATAAAACAGCAGAATAAAAATAGGAGATGTTTGTTCCATTTGTTCAACTCTTCCAGATGAAATGATAGCGCATTAATTTGCTGTACCATTTAGTCCCCAGTCAAAATTCAACTGGAAAAGCTTTGCTTCCCAAGTTAAATTATTGTATTTTTGAGTTTAGTCAACAATTTTACAGTCCAATGGAACATTGAAGATTCCACCAGCAGCAAAGCTGATATCATGTGGCATGGATTGCATTAATCAGTGTCCAAAAATTGTTCTCAAAATAATAAACCAAACGTCACAGCAATTTCACATGAGGGCAGCTGTGGAAAGGATAAATTTGTGGGCAGAGATGCACTGCTGTACTGACAGCGTTGCATAAATGACAATTTACAGCCTGGTTTTCCAATCAAATAATAAATAATTTCAGTCTCCTGTACTAGAGTAGCAGATACAGATACAGACATTAAATCAAGTCAGTGAATCTAAATGCAATTTTAATGATGTATGAATAAAAAGAAAGACTTGGATTTGGATAAGACTTTCCACGAAGACTGGATGTCTTGAAATGCTTTACAGCCATGAAATATTTAAATGTAATCATTTTTGTAATAAAAGAAATTATTGTCAGTCAACCTCTCATACTGAAAATTATAGATTATAAGTGCAGAGACTCATACCTTTAGGTTTTAATTAGAGATATTTAAATGATATAAGTTACAATTTTACTAACAGCAAGTGACACAATCCGTGTTAATTACTAATACCATCAGTGCTGATACTGAAGGAATATTGTGGGATACTTGTATGTAAGATTTCTGGTTGATATTAGCTGCCCAGCAGCCCAGTAGCTAATGGGCTGAGGGGTTAAAATCACCTGTAGATTGTCAGTGTGCCTCAATAGGCTGAATATTATGCTCACATGCCTGAAACATGGTAGCGTTCATAGACTCCTCTGTTGTCTGCTCATGTCTGCACATTGCCCCTGGAAAATTTGCCAGATTTCCTCTCATGACGTTCACAACACCGGCATCTTCTGTGCGTCAATGCCAGAGACTTGTCATGTGCTTTGGGCTCAGTATAGCTTTGGCCTTCTCCTACTGTCAGTGGCCTTACCCATAACAGCTTCAGACAGCTACATGGGTAATTGTGTGCTGCTATCACAAGTTTGTGATCAAAGATTATGACCACCAAATCCACCAAGGAGAGAGTTTCTGTGCTAGATCCAGATGCTGGGCAATGATGAAACAGTGCACCCTCTGAGAGATTTTCCTCCTCAAAGAACAACAAGATTCCTGTGGCTGTAGCAGACATTCGTCCACTTGAATTGTCACAATCTGCTTGAGAAAACACAGATATTTTGGGATGGCAATGCAGAGGTCTGCCCATTCCAACCTTGCATTCCTTAGGTTATTCTAAAGTCGTACACTTGTCTGCTATTAGCGATTCCAAAGGCTTACAGTGGGCAAGTGAATACGATGCTCTTTACTTTCTTAGGTAGACATTACAATGCCTCTGTCTACAATGGACAGCCATTCTTGGAGTGCTTCTTTCAATCTTTCCTGGATGTTGTTGACCCTTCTTGTGGACCTTTCTCACCGTCAATGCACTGCCCAAAGGCAGTGGAAACCTTAAAAACTTTAAAAAATATTTTGTTGAGCACTTGAAATATCATAATAATCAAGGAAATGGGACAAGTGCAGGAAATTGGGATTAGTGCATCTTCAGTGGTAGTTATTGTTGCTGCAGACTCGATGAGCTGAAGGCCTTTTCTATGCTGTATGAATCTATGACTGTATCACTCTATGACTTATCCTGCAAGCAGATATCATGGTACTGTTAGCCTTTACCTGTAGCCCAGCAGTACAAATATCATCGGCATGCCTTCTGATGGCTTTATGCTGGTCTTCAATGCCTCCTCACACCTGGTGACAGGGGAGCTGGGGGGATGAACTCAGACAGAACCCCCTGTCTGTCCTTGAGAAGTAGTCCTAGATAATTGTTGATACCTTATGTAAGTGCAGTCAAAAATGATGTGAGGCAGGTTTTGGCAGCTCTTCTACTTAAACCAGGCAGTGGCTTTCCTCCATGCAAATGAGAACTGTTTTATTGGTCTCTGTACATTATGCACAGAATGGGGTGAGGTTGCTGCATACCATCTTGGAATAACACCCACAACACATTGAGTGTCATGAGACCTGAAATCACTTCATATGCTGCAATCAGCTATCCTATTGATAGCTATAATCTTGGACAAAAAGGACCTGCTTCAGCCTCAGCCCTGTGCAATGTGCCCAGAATATATTCATGTTATTTCCTGTATATCCACGCACATTTCCCAGAGTTCTGTGGATTTAACTTGGCAGATCAAAGGAGGTTATTGACCGTCTTATAACACTGGAACCAGTTTCACAGCTTACCCCCTGGCTCTTTAACTTCTATGTGATTTCTGCCCAGGTTTATTTGGTCAGGCAGGAGGCTCTATTGATGTTGGCCCTTGAAAGGAGAAACTCCTGTTGTTATACTACAGCCTGGAGGAGGATCTGCAGGGAGGCATCGATACCTTGGGGACACCAATGTATCTTCAGGGACATGGTCCCAATTACCTCTGGTCTGTAGCTTAGGTATTGTGGTCTTGATAGCAGGGCACAGGGGATTCCAGCAGCAGTAATGGGACAGTCATAGATGTGGCTCCAGCAGGAATAGTTTTACAGGACCTGCGGTCAGCTTTTCAAAGATAGCATCAGTGTTCTTACCTACTCACACTTTGTGGCAGTTCACTGTCACTCCCTGTGCTGTGATAGGATTGTTTCCACGCTTTCTCATGCAAAGTGACTACCACCCATGTGATTGCTATCAGCCAGCTAAATTTCTCACAGCTACAGCAAACATTTTTGAAGCCACCATCTGGACGCGAGGGGGCTGACAAAATTCAGTACATTTAATGTCTGTTGCTTCTTATCTGACAGGATTTTTGTTGAATGGGCATGCCAGCACGCCGCACAGTGTGATGAATGTTGGGAGAGATAGTAGGAACTGCCGATGCTGGAGAATCTGAGATAACAAGGTGTGGAGCTGGATGAACACAGCAGGCCAAGCAGCATCAGAGGAGCAGGAAAGCTGACGTTTCAGGTGTGGACCTTTCTTCAGAAATGGGGGAAGGGAAAGGGATTCTGAAATAAATAGAGAGGTGGGGGGGAGGCGGATGGAAGGTGGATAAAGGAGCAGACAGGTGGAGAGGCAGGACGTAGTCGAGCAGTTTCAGGGCCGAAGAGATTACCAGAGGGTTGCAGTGGGAGAGAGAGGTCTTTCCAGAGGGAGGACGGTAACTTCTTCAAGGTAGGCATCCTTAGAAGAGGCTTCGCAGTGGAGTTAAAATTGATTGGTGTAGCCATCCTTTTTAACTGCAGGAAGCTACAGGGCCTGGTTGGTCTAGTGTGGGAGAGAAAAATCACTTCTTGATCTATGTAAAAGAGTTCATGCGCTTAACAAGTTATAGTTTATTGCATGTTAGCAATTAGAGGTTACCCTGATATGATCAACATTATGACAGAGACTTCAAGGAGGATCAGATGTTCGGTCTACCCACAAGTCCATTACATTTCATGGTGTTTATGGCACTCCGCTGTCATCAAAACTATCATGATGAAATTCAAAAATAATGATCTGAATGCAAAATTAGTTTAAATGGCAATGAGTGTAAATACTTAGATAGGTAAGTTTGATTTTTATTGCTCGCTGCTAATCACAAGCATTCTCCTAATAAACATCAGTACCTTAAAAATCAATATGCTGTGGTTAAGCTGTAAAAACATTTTTATTCATTGATCACATTACTGGTACAATGGAAACAAATACTTGCTGAAAAGGGAGCTTTTATAGAAAGGATGGGAATAGGAGGAAAGATCCTTGTGAGCAGAATCTCAGTACCTGGAAATACACTTGTCTTTACGAACTTGAATTTGAGGCTGCCGATGAACAGTGTTCATGACAAATTCATTTATTCAGAGAAGAAGGAAATCTGACAAAGAAAAATGAATAATAACATGGAATTATTATTGCAATATTCTTTTGAAGTTACAAATATGCAGAGTACAAGAGTGCATTTATTTTAATCAATCTTTTGAGACATGTTATGACACACTTCCATGGCAGGTGAGATTTGAACCCAGGCCTTTTGTCCAAAGGTAGGGACACCAACATTGTACCGCACGACTTCTTTATCAGTGCATTACTTGTTGATACACTCCACAAAAGTTAATTAGCAATAAACAAAACATCTGAATTAGGGAAATCAAAACTAAAAAGATCTCATAAGATACTGGTTGATACAGAAATACAAGTTAGAACAGTCCTTGGATATGCATGGTTGACGTTCTTGATTGACATAAAATAATTGTGTAGTGGCCATCACTAAGGAAAAGGCGGTAGGGAAACTGAAAGGTCTGAAGGTGGATAAAATACCCGGATCAGATGGACTACGTCCCTAAAGTTCTGAAAGAGATAGCTGAGGAGATTGTAGGGGCATTGGTGGTGATCTTTCAGGAATCACTGGAGGAGAAGGTCTCAGAGGACTGAAATTGGCAAATGTTTAAGAAGAGAGGAAGGCAGAAGATAGGAAACAATAGGCTTGTTAGCCTGATCTCAGTTTTTGTTAAGATTTTAGAGTCCATAGATGAGTTTGTGGAGTACTTAGAAGTGCATGGTAAAATAGGGCTGAGTCAGCACTGCTTCTTCAAGGGAGGTAATGCCTACAAATCTGTAAGAATTCTTTTGAGGAGGAAACAAGCAAGTTAGACAAAGGAGAGCCAGTGGACATGATCTATTTGGATTTTTAGAAAGCTTTGAAAAGGGGCCACACACGAGGCTTCTTTAAGATAAGAGCCCATGGTGTTAAGAGCATAGCATGGCTGACTGGCAGAAGGCAGAGAGTAGAGATGAAGGAATCTTTTCAGGATGGCAGCCAATGACTAGTGGAGTTCCACAAGGTCAGTATTGGGTCCACATCTATTCACATTTTACATTAACGATCTGGACAAAGAAACTGAGGGTGTGTTGCTAAGTTTGCAGATGATACAAAAATAGGTGGGGGGACAGGTAGTGTTAGGAAGCAGGTGGGCTGCAGAAGGTTGGACAGGCTAGGAGAGTGGGCAAAGAATTGACAGATGGAATACAATGTAAGAAAGTGTGAGGTTATGCATTTTGGTAGGAAGAATAGAAATATAGACTATTTTTCTCAATGGAGAAAATCTTCAGAAATCTGAAGCCTAACGGACTTGGGAGTCCTAGTTCAGGTTAACATGCAAGTACAGTTGGCAAATGCAATGTTTTGTGATGATACTATGGCATTAGGAGATGTATTTTCTCCTGGTTTTTCTATGAAGGAAGGTTGAGACAGAGGTGAAGAGCAGTCTGTTCCAAAGCCAATAAAGTAAACAGCTTGTGAGGCCTTGCAGCTTTTTTTTTAAAAGTTGAAACAATAGAAGCACCCTTACTGGGTGGGGTCAAGTTCCCACAAAACCAGATTTTTAGTTTTAGCTTTCTGCAAATGCAGGGGCCTTGAAACTGGATGTGGAAGCTCTTATTCCTCTCTCTGGCTAAAAGCTGAGGTTCTCTTCCTGCTCCTAGAATTGCATGTGAGACAGTCTGTTTTACTGAATTTGCCTTTGCTAGGGATATGTTTATGGGATGCTATTATATTGGAACAGTTAATTAATAGCAGTTAATATATATTATTTTATTAAGCATTTTGTTAGAGTTAGAACCTGAGGGCACAGTCTCAGAGTGAAGGGATGACCCTTTAGAACTGAGATGAGGAGAAATTTCTTCAGCCAAAGGATGGCTAATTTGTGGAACTCATTGCTTTTGTGGGCTGTGGAGGCATTGAGTATATTTAAGACAAACATAGATAGGTTCTTGATTGGTAAGGAAATCAAGGGTTATGAGGTGAAGGCAGGGGAATGGGGTTGAGAAACATATCAGCCATGACTGAATGGCAGACAAGACTCATTGGGCCAAATGGCCTACTTCTGTTCCTATATCTTATGGTCTAATTCAGAAAGTGTACTATAAATTTGAAGACATCAGATTGTTTTATTGTTTACGACATTTAGTGACACTTACTATTAAATATTTCTAAGTATTGACAACAATGGATTTAGATTCAGGGTTTGACTTTGGCTTTATGTTTGAGTTCAGATGTGTGGGTTTGGTTCTGAATTTGCATTTCAATTTATGGGCTGAATATTATATTCTCTCACATGTGTGGTTTAGGGAGGAGCATAAAATCCTGCAGAAGGTCTCCCCCTTACTAACCTAGCTGCAAATTTATGGTTGGATAGGTGAGGCCTACACCAGCCCATCTTTTCTTGCCTCAATTGAGTCAATTAGTGACAGCTTAAGGTTATTTCCCACTGTACTCCTGTTTTTAGGCTGTGGGAGGTGTTTAGGAGCAGAGGTGAAGCCACAAAAGTGACCCTGCTCAGGGCTTGCTCAGAAAAGGAGATGGGGATGCCTCATTTCCACATGAGGCAACCCCCTACATGAGGAATGTGATACCGAGTGATGCCAAAAGGTTGGCTTCAGTTCCTGCATCAGTTGAGGTTACCATGAAGGACTCTCCTTCTCAACCTTTCCCTTCGCCTGAAGTGTGGTGACCTCAAGTTAAAAATCACCGGTTGTCCCTCTCTAATGAGAGAGCCTCATAATTGTTTGGTGAAACAATAGCAACTTTCCCTTTATACATTCTGTTGTGTCAAACAATGGGAATGACACTAAAAGCTAAGCTTGCCAATGATGCCCCGTTCATGAAAATGAATGTTAAGAAAGGTCAAGATTAAAAGTATTCTTAGAGTGAAAATTATGACAAACTAAAATTACTTCCACATCAAATCATGTATACGTTCAAACTGAAGTACATTAAAATGGAATGGATTTTTAACGAAAATGAGTGAATCAAATGGCTAGAGATAGTAGGAACTGCAGATGCTGGAGAATCTGAGATAACAAGGTGTAGAGCTGGATGAACACAGCAGGCCAAGCAGCATCAGAGGATCAGGAAGGCTTTTTTTTGAAGAAGGGTCTAGGCCCGAAACGTCAGCCTTCCTGCTCCTCTGATGCTGCTTGGCCTGCTGTGTTCATCCAGCTCTACACCTTGTTATCTTGAATCAAATGGCAAGTTGAGTGGGAGTTGATAGTTGGAAAGACCAGGTGATCCTTCCCATTTTTCTGCAAACAAAGCTGTGTTCTGGGTAATTTCCTGTTATTTGACTATCAGATGGCATCACCGAGACACTTGAAGCAAGATACTGGGACATCAGCAGAAATTTATACAGTAACTCACATCTGAAAAGTAGTGCATGGATGGAAGCCCCAAACGCATATATTGCGAAGAATGAGGAAGATCATACATACTGCTCCTCTTATGTATTCAACCTCAAAATTTAAGTAGCAATGTGTGAAACTAACACACAAAACAGTTGTGGGATTGAGAGCCACAGCTGTGCAAAAGCATTTATCATTTAAACAACTTAAACAATCAGGTAAAGACAAACATCTGCTTATTGCTCTATTATATACAAAGCAATACAGCACAGGAACAGGCCTTTCAGACCAGCAAGCCTGCGCTGATTCCCAGTACTGATTTAGACCCGTTATATTTATTGCCCATGCTCAGTATCTATCCCTCTGTTCACCTCCCATTCATGTTTCTATCAAGATACGCCCTAAACACCACCTCTACTGGCTGTGTTTTCCAGGCATCCACCATCCTCTGTGTGAAAAATTTCCCCCACACTTCTCCACTAAACTTTCCCCCTCACCTTGAACCTGTGCCCTCTTGTAGTTGACCTTTCTGCCCTGGGGAAACAGCCTTTGACTATCCACCCTATCTATGCCTCACATAATTTTGTAGATCTCTATCAGATGATCCCTCAGCCTCTGTCTTTCCAATGAAAACAATTTGAGTTATCCAACCTCTCCCCATAACTAAAACCCTCCAGAACAGGCAATATGCTGGTAAACCTTCTCTGCATCCTCTCCAAACATTCGCATCCTCTTGGTAGTGTGGCGAACAGAACTGCACGCAATATACCAAATGTGGCCCAACTAAAGTTTTATACAGCTGTAACATAACTTGCCAACTTTTATATTCAATGCCCTGGCCAATGGGAAAATGGACACCACGATTCAATTTGCCAACTTTTGTTTGACAATTCACATCTTTCAAAACATGATATGCTGGATGTGAATTGTCAAACAAAAGTTGGCAAATTGAACCTTCAGCAGAAGAATTTCTGGAGGCAAATGAAATTTGGCAAAATTTTCCGCGCAAGTATGAATATGTGCCAACCTTGATAAGCTGTTGTCAGCAGCAAAATGCAGTTTACTGACAGCTCCATGTCCGGTGAAAGAAGGTAAAGCACAAACGCAAAAGGTCATGATGTCAAACAGTGTGACTGTCTGAACTAAATTGAAAACTCTCCATGGAACAATCTGTGGAATGAAAGACTGCATTTTATAGTAACATTATTAATGATGGCACCGAATGTTGTTCTGTAAATGTAATCCTGTCAGAGATGGGTGTGGGATTGCCAATGCACATTGTTTGTGGGATCAGTGCAGGATGTGTTTAAAAGACCATTCCATTCTGATTAACAGAAGCAGTTTTTGAACAGATCTCGTTAAAGGAAGGTCATTCATCCATGTCTTAACGTTCTGAAACATGTTGACTAGGCCACTGTTTACAATAACAAAATGATTGAAGAGCTTGAGTGAAATGGATAACCATAGTAACTGAACTTTTGGGAGACAGTAGTGTACAGAATGGCTCCATGTTATCCAAAGTCTGCATTTTGTCTCTTGGTAGATTGTAATTTCATATTAGCATGCATGGAATGTAGAGATCAAAGGTAGAATTGAGATAAGTATTTTAAACAAATGTCTTTTTTGTATAGTCGTGCTGAAATTATGAAGCACTGTACCTAATTTATTGCAGTGAATAGTATCACACCAAAAAGAGCCAAATAATGGTTCGAAATGGTAGATTTGACTGAGTAGTTGTGCTGAATAGTATCAAATGAGTTTGCTTGAGACAAAGATTTGATTATTTGGTTTTTGCAATTGATGTCTGTGTTTAAAGTAACAAAACAAAATAGAACAGGAAAGCAGTGCAACAATAGACAATGAGCGAAATAAACAGAGAACAGGTCATTTGTGGATAGGATAAAGAGAATGACAAAAAACATCCCAGTGGAGTGGGAATAAGGTTGTTGTGCCAGTGGATAAAATCATAATAAATGCAGGCTTCCTCTTACCGATAATTAATAATGCTTAATAAATGAGGTCTTCATCGGGCAATTGTATTATCGAACTGGCAGGCGGCAACAAATCTCGGATACTATGCAGTTTTGGTTTGATAATTTAAGAAAGGATGTAAATATGTTAGGGGTGGTTCAGAGGTTTACTACGTCGATACTTGGTATTAGTAGGTTGTCGTGTGAAGAATGATTGGACAGACTGGGCTTGTTTTTACTGGTGTTTAGAAGTGCAAGTGATTGGATTAAAGTTTCTAAGTTGATGAACAGTCTGGACAAAATGGATGCGGAAAGAATGTTTGATTACTCCTGTGGGTGAGTTCAGAACAAAGGAACACTTTTAAAATTAGGGGTCACCTTTTAAGACAAAGATGAGGGAAATTATGTTCTTTGTGGCTATACAACATTGGAACAGCTTGCTTCAGAAAGCATTAGAGGCAGGATCAATGAAAAATTTTAAAGTGGAGGTAAATAGATTATGAGGCAAAAAAATCAAATGTTCCCAGAGATAGATGCGAATGTGGAATTTGGAACCTGAACAGCTTGGCCATGATCTTTTTCAGTGGCAGAGAGGGATTAAAGCGCCAAATGTACTTCTTCTGTTTCTAATTTGTGTGTTCATATGTGTACAAGAAAACAGATTGAGAATTAGAGATGCAAGTCAATATCAGAAAGATGAGCAGGATATGGATTAGATGCACTGGCCTCCATATCCAAAATCCTGATGGAAGACCTCTATTAGGGGAAACTCTGAGCTGGCAGCACTAAAGCAGAACATAAATCCTATTGTTTCTAACTGATCTCTTGACCACTTAGTGGATTACCAAATTCTAATAGTAAGTGAAAGCTATATGAGTAAAGATGTATGCATCAACATGTCAACATACTTCACCGGAACTTTCATGGAGATAATGCTGAACCAAAGTTTGGGACATGTTGGATTTGATTACTGTATTCTGGACCCCAGGTTAACAAGTGATGACCAACATTCAATAAATAAATTGAGCTTCCCAGTGTCTGTAAATATCCCAAAATATTCTCCAAAGTTTATGAAGGATTGCACTGTTGGTGGAAATTGTGGATCAGACTCTCAGTCTGTTTGCATGGATAAACCCAGATTCCAAGGAGTGGGTCTTTTGAATACATAGGGTGGGTACACATTCAAGCTCAGGAGTTTTAGGCTCTTTATCTTGAGGGTAAGCTTTGGAATGTGGAGTCCTTGCGGGCAAAATGCGTAATAATTCAACTTAGCCATTTTGTTCTGCAGTCAGGAATTCTGAATTGGACAAGCCAAGCATTTGTTCCCCATGTTGGAAGCAAGTTACCCAGAAAGAATGGGCTCCAGGAATCGAATTCATATGTGCCATGGATCCAGACCCTGTTTTTGGTGATGGAACTGAATACTTACAAAGCTATAGAAACAAATATGACGGTGTTTGTAATGCAAGCAATAATTGGCTGTGGGATGAAACTTTGTTTTCCCTGTTTGGAGTCTGGAAAGAAGGTTCAATTTCTACACCATTGAACTCCACCATTATACACACCTTGCTGATTATTTTTTTCTGCAGAATAAAATATCAATATTTTTAAAGTTGATGACAGTCTCCAGCTTCAATTCTTGCTTCCCTCTACAGTGTGGGAGGTGAGCTTTAAAGATGGTTGCTGTAGATTCAGGTCTGGAGACTGTTGACTTAAATATCATTGCCTCTAATTTTGAAACTGAAAAAACAAAAAAATATGTTTGATGGAGAGCTGAGACCTTTGTTTCTGTTCTAGTGAATCATCCTCAACTAAGTTAAATTTAAATTCCATTTTTGGTGGAGACAGATTGACTGAATTAATTGTTTTAATAACATTATTATAGGAAGGATGTGGAAGCATTGGAAAGGGTGCAGAGGAGATTTACCAGGATGTTGCCTGGTATGGAGGGAAGGTCTTATGAGGAAAGGCTGAGGGTCTTGAGGTTGTTTTCGTTAGAGAGAAGAAGGTTAAGAGGTGACTTGATAGAGACATACAAGATGATCAGAGGATTAGATAGGGTGGACAGTGGGAGCCTTTTTCCTCAGATGGTGGTGGCTAGCATGAGGGGACATAGCTTTAAATTGAGGGGTGATAGATATAGGACAGATGTCAGAGGTAGGTTCTTTACTCAGAGAGTAGTAAGGGCGTGGAATGCCCTGCCTGCAAAAATAGTAGACTCGCCAACTTTAAGGGCATTTAAATTGTCATTGGATAAACATATGGATGATAATGGAATAGTTTAGGTTAGATGGGCTTCAGATTGGTTTCACAGGTTGGCGCAACATCGAGGGCCGAAGGGCCTGTACTGCGCTGTAATGTTCTATGTTCTATGTTCTATTTTTAAAACCTACAGCCTCTGTGTGCTGCAGAACTGTTCATTGTCAATCTGAGAGGCTTTGTTAAGTGGTATGAAACATGCAAACTTTTTAAATTGACAGGATGTTAATAGCAAAAGCAAGGGCTAATCATGAAAGAGGAAAAATGAAATTCCACTTTGAATTAAAAATAAGATAAAATTACACTTTTGAAAATGGTGCATTTACTTATTTTCTCAATAGGTTATTAGGCAAGGAGAAAAGCATCAAATTTCACATTTAAAGAAAAATGTTTTGAGACTTATGATATTTTATTTCATTAGGACTTATGCACATGATCTTGGCTGACACTTTAGTCCAGTACTGATGGAGTGCTGCATTGTCAGGAGTATCAACTTTTAGAAGAGATGTTAAGCTGATGCCCCACTTAGCCTGTTTGGAAGATTTAAAACATCTAATCTCAATTTTTGAAGAGGTGCAGTGGAGTTCTCCAATATATTTTCCTCATCTAGTGCAGTTGTGGACAGATTATCTAGTTATTTATCTGTTGCTCTTTGTGGGATCTTGCTGTGTGCGCATGAATGTTGTGTTTCCTACATTACCTAATTATTTTATGTCATTACTGTTTTTGAACTTCCTTCAGAAATACTTGGAATTGAAAAGAGATTCTTTTATCCTCACAATAATCTTGTTTACCTCAAGTTGAATCAGTCAGATCTTAAATTACACGAGTCTTGGATCTAAAATCAGGGCAAATGTTTTCTGGTTATATCTAGTGTGGTAAATTGAATCCATACTAATTTCCATGGATTTGTCAAGCCAATTAAGCACTGTACCTACCTAACAATCTGCAAATCAAAAGCCACACAACCAATGTCAGCATATTTATATGGCAACTGGTTCTGTGGTGTTATAAAGTTCTTGAAGTTACACTCAGTGCACCAGGTTAAACAAGAAACGTAGCGTGCACCCATTGTAAGAAGCAGTGGAAGTAGTTCACCTTCTGACTGGCCAATGCCTTTTTATTCATTTACAAGGCACAAGTCAGGAGTGTGATGGAATACTCTTCACTTGCCTGGATGGGGCCAGCTCTAACTGCACTGGAAAAGCTCAATGTTATTCCAAGATACAACTCCTCACATGACTGTTAACCCATCCACCATCTTCCATGTTTGCTGCTTTCACCAATCACATACAATGGCAGCCATAACGGTGTGTACCATCAACAAGGTGCACTCATTAACTCACCAAGGCTCCTCCAACAGAACTTCCAAACCCACAAACATTTCCACATCGGAGGATAATGGCATTAGATACAAGGGACCATCACTGCAGGTAAGCTCCCATCAAAATCACACACCATTTTAACTTGGAAATATGTAATTGTTCCTTCACTGTCACTGGGTCAAAATCCTTGAAATCCATTCCTAACAGCAGTGGCTGTACTTACATCCCAAAATCTGTAGCAGCTCAAGAGGTAGCTCACTACCAACTTTTCCAGGGCAATTAGGGATGGGCCATAATTATTGGCTTAGTTAGCAATGCCCTTGAATGAATAAATTTGTGATTAATTTATTAATTTAATTTTAAATGATTAATTTATGCTCAAGTTTCCACACAAGCCCATTAAAAAAATACCCTTTAGGTCTGACAACTTGCCCATCCTCACTCAGCCATGCCCTGTTCCCCTTTCACAGAAACATAAAATTGTTATGATGCGGAAGGAGGCCATTCAGCCATCATGTTTGTACTGCCTCTCTGAGCATTTTAACTTGGTGCCAATCTCCTGCCATTTCCAGGTACCTTTGAACATTGTTTCTCTTTAAATAATCATCCAATGCCCTCTTGAATGCCTCAACTGAACTTGCCTTCACCATACTTCCAGGCATTGCATTCCATTCCCTAACCACACACTGTGTGAAAAAGAATTTTCTCACCTCGAATTTTCTTCTTTTGCAAAACACGTTAAACTGTGCTCTCTGGTTCTTGGCTCACTTATCGGTGGAAACAGTTTCTCCTGATCCACTCTATCCAGTTCCCTCATGATTTTGAAAACGTCTTTCAACCCTCTCTCAGTCTTCTCCTCTCCAAGGAAAATAGTCCCTCGCGTTCACCAGTGTCACAGCTGCCACCAATCCCAATGCATCAATACTTCCTCTTTCCTGGTTCAACAAAGCAACCAATACAAGAAAAAGTAGCTCGTGTTCAGGCCAATTCCTTCAGGAAGATTACCTCACCTTCTGCACACCACCTTTAATCAGTCTTGAATCCATTCCGACTTCATACTGAAAATTTGAATTTAATCTGGCGAAGTGTTTTAATAAACATGCAAGACCTACTAATATACTAAAAAACATAGGATTTTTGCAGTTGCCATCAGGAAGCATGATCCACTTGATTTGCTGCCACCTTAATAACCAACTTTCATCCCGTTGCCAGGAAGTTGATATTTTGCTTAATTGAGTTCCCCTGTTGGCCTCATTTCCCAGTCTCGGAAGTTTCATATGTTTCCGCCCATGAATTTTGGATTGGCACAAGGTTTAACAATTGGATAGACTGAATGGACCAGAGAGTCTAGTCCTCCTCATCACAGTTCATTACGTTTGTGTTTCTTCATATTTAACTTTATTCCTCCTGGAGTCCGGTATTAGAACAGAAATCTTGTACAAGTTCAAGCCTAGTAAAGTTTTCAGTGAAAGGAATAAAGAAACATGCATGCTGATTGCTGTAGTTCGAAATAGACTTGACAGGAAATTGTTTGATTTCCTTTTATCCATGCTTGATTTATTTCTCACTGCCGTGGGACTGAGTCACACCCCAGGTTATTACTGACCACATCCTTGGGTGTGGGAATGATTTAATGCCTGTTGGCAAATCCCAACCTGCCCTCATCACGCAGGAAGGGCACAAGATGGCAGATTGTAAAATCAGGCAGCATTTAAGGAAGATGGACTGCAGATGGTATTATTCCTTCCCCTTCAATGATACAGCAGCACAAACCCTAATGGGAACATACAATGAGGAAATATGTATTGGAAGAATGCGTTCCACCAAGAAGGCACTAGGATAGTACTGTCATCTTGTCCGTGAGACCACCAGCGATGATCATCTGACTCAGGATCATCCTAGGGAGCTGTGGGTGATCTCTATATTACTTTTTAAAATTGTTAACTTCTGTGACAACTCTGAGAAGAGTAGGGCTTAATTTCCAGTGTATTATGCCAATGAGACATAGCATAATGATTTGTTGGAAGTTGGAGTAATTCATTTCATAGAATCCTTACAGAGTTGAGGCAGGCCATTTGGCCCATCAAGTCAACACCGACCCTCTGAAGAGGGTTGTTGACCTGAGTTTGTCCATCCTGAGCTTTAGGAAGAAGATATCATCTGAGCAGATGATTTTGTGGAGATATATTGTACTCCCTGCTTTCATTTATGTCAATGCCAATAAGAATAGCCTGAATAACAGCAGAGAAGCACTACAGTGAGACACAAACTTCTATTGGAGTGATCCTTCAGAGGACACTGGTGTGTTAAAGGGGCATTTGCACTGCCTATAAGATCAGGAAGGACCATGCAGTTTGTTCCTCGTGAGCTGTAGTCTAATACGATTTGCACAGTTTCACCATCCAAGTTGTAAGAACACAGAAACATCAGAGTCAATCAAGCAAAAGGTGAATTTCAGAAGATGATCAAACTTTCTGTATTGTTAATCTCACACAACATGTCAGCAGTGTAAGGAAATTAGAAGCTTTTACAACCATGAATATCATAGAATGACCTGAAAAGGCAGGATGACACACAGTAAAAGCTACAATAGACCTGGGAGCTACCACTACCCATTCTGAAAAGCATGTACATCAGCAAATGGCATTTCTTGGCACAACCTATAGGAGAACGTCTCACATCTTATAATGGACCACCGATTCCAAGCATTGCCAAAGTCACATACCACTGCTTCTTTATTGATCTATCCGCTTGCCGAGTATCCCAATTTACTTCAGCATATCAGACATAAATTGTTGCAATTTACAATTAAACTAACATATATATATAATATATATAAAATATATATGTTAATAGTACAAAATAATTTCCAGACACAGCCTATGCTTTGAATGCAATAGTACAGATAGCCTGTGGTCGTATGACAGCATCTGGGTACTTGGTTCTTTTGCACATTGATCTCTTAAAGGAAAATCACTCCAAAACAGCAATTATCATTGAAAGGACACTGAATGTTGCAAAGATTATCAAAGAACAATGGAAATCTTTTTCAGGGATAAGATAGTCTCTCTTCCCTCCACTTTTCTAAAGAATGAAAATCCTCAGGTATTTGTGTGTTCATTTTTTAAAGGGTCCAAATGCATTATTCAAACTGTTTGTCAATTATCTTTGTATCTTTGCTTGAATAATTTTGTGTTTCTATTGAACTAGGTACTGGTTGGTTAAAGCAACTTGGCTGACCTGTTCTTAATACTGAGCCTGATACAGCCTGAGAGCTATAGAATTGACCAAATCACTAACCTGGATAAATGTAAAATTTGTTATGACAAGTGGAGGAGTGGGACCAGAAGAGGAAACAGTGCACCCTTCCAACTTTGGTAATCACATTTAATATTTCATGACCTCAGTATTTTCCAAATGCTTGATAATTGATGAAGTAATTCTGTAGTGTAGTCACTATTGTAATGTAAGAAAAGGACCAGCCAATTTATCTACAGCGTGTTTTGACAACGACAATATGAGGAGGATAAAATCATCTGTTTTTAGTACAATTGGTTGATAGATAATTCATGTCTAGGCTCTTTGAAGTTGTGGCGTGGACTCTTTGCATCGATCTGAAAGTATAATCTTCATGTCTCATTTTAAATGAGATAGGCAGCACAGCGGCTCAATAGTTAACACTGCTGCCCCACAGTGCCAGGGACCTGGGTTTGATTCCAGCCTCAGGTGACAATCTGTGTGGAGTTTGCACATTCTGCCTGTGTCTGCGTGGGTTTCCTCTGGGTGCTCTGGTTTCCTCCCACAGTCCAAAGATGAACAGGTTAGGTAGATTGGCCATGCTAAATTACCTCGTTTGTCCAGAGATGTGTAGGCTGTGTGGTTAGCCATGCCAAATGCAAGGTTACAGGGATAGGGTAAGAGGGTGGGTCTGGGTCAATTCCCTTTGGAAGGTCAGTATGGCCTTGATGGGCTGAATGGCCTATAGGGATTCTATGATAAATTTGACAGTGCAGCACTCCCAATATATTAGATTTTGTGTTGTCCTGGGTTTTTTTTAGCTTATGTTTCTGGAATGGGCTTGAACTGAGATCCTCCTGACTCAAGAGGTGGCAGTGTTAGAACTGAACCATGGCTGACACCAAAGCAGGTCATCAGTGCAGTTACCTTTAAAAAAAACAAAGTCCAGAGTGAACATGAGTCACCCGGCTCTTTCGGTCTACTGTGTTTTCCTTGGCAAGCATCACTGTGCAGCATGTTGACTGCAGCTGGCACTACTGGGCCTTGGATCACTGCCCACACTGATCTCTGTTCTCACTGCTGTACCTATAGTTCCCAAATCTACAAAGCCCTGAAGTATAGCAACCTAAATTGCAGTCAATAGAAGCTGATGTACAAAGTGCTATTTTACCTTCTCCCTATCAGGGCAATACTTTGCCTCTGTCACAAAATTCATTGTCCCTGCACATTGGAAGAGTAATCCTGAGTGTAGCTGTGAATATGAGCTCTGGACACAAGCGGCACATCTGTCATTGCTACACATCCTCAGAAACGTCTGCATGTAGGCACCTGATTTGTCAAACATCCTTCTTTTTAGCTCCAAGATCTTCAGGTTCTGAAGTTGTCGGCAACCTGACCTTGCTCACTGAAGGTGACGTGTCACCCATGCCCCAATCCTCCAGCTCCCTGATGCTCAACGAATTGCAAGGTGACACACATCCTCACAGGCATGATAAGGAAAAGATGATGTCGGTGGTCAAGGAAAGAAATAGAGAATAGTAGGCATGTTACCCTGCCTACCCTTGTCAGTTCACTGAACTGGATATTGCCAGGCCAGTGAGAGAGTTGGTATTCAGTGCCAGTGCAAGTGCCTTCCTTCACATGGCATGAGAGCCTTTGATTTGCTTCCTCCCACTGAGACTGAGTAATCCATTTTGCCACTACTTTTCCTCTCTGTCTTATCATTGTGTTATTTTTTCTTTCTCTTTTTCTTCATCCCTCTCTGTTGTTTCTCCCTTCCTGTCAGATCCTCAATCAATCTCTTAATCTCTATGTCTGTCTGTCTGTCTCTCTCTTTCCCATTCCCTTCATTCCCTTTCTTTGTCTCTCTCACTTTCTTTCTTGCGCTCTCTCTCTCTCTCATTTCCTGATACACATGCAGCAGGACTTGATGCCAGTCACACTAGAACTGTAGACATCGTTTTCTAGTCTGTGCAGCCTCCTTCTCCCTGTCTTGTTGTCGCTGTCAAATCCTCATACCATTTGTTTTAAAATGTGGAACACAATGTCACAAGCGAGTGCTACCTGATAGCTGACAAAACACAGATTAGGTTTTTAACTGACCAACTGTTGATAACTTGAGCAAGAATACACCTTTTAGAGGCTACATTCTAATTTCAGAGTTCAACCAACATCCCTCCTCAGACGACATGTCCATCCTGGGCCTCCTGCAGTGCCACAATGAAGGTTGCAGGAACAGCACCTCATATTCCACTTGGGAACCCTGCAGCCCAATGGTATCAATGTGGACTTTACAAGCTTCAAAATCTCCCCTCCCCCTACCGCATCCCAAAACCAGCCCAGCTCGTCTCCACCTCCCTAACCTGTCCTTCCTCCCACCTCTCCCCTCCTCCCACCTCAAGCCCCACCCCCATCTCCTACCTACTAACCTCATCCCGCCCCCTTGACCTGTCCGTTCTCCCTGGACTGACCTATCTCCTCCCTACCTCCCCACCTACACTCACCTTTGCTGGCTCCATCCCTGTCTCTTTGACCTGTCTGTCTCCTCTCCACCTATCTTCTCCTCTATCCATCTTCTATCCGCCTCCCCCTCTCTCCCTGTTTATTTCAGAACACCCTTGCCCTCCCCCATTTCTGAAGAAGGGTCTAGGCCCGAAACGTCAGC